TGCCTATTGTTTTACTTGAATGTTGCTTTATGTTTTTTTGAACCTTTTTCATTCATTGTCGAACTTGCACCGAAGTTGCCTCGACTGGTGCCCTTCGTACAATAATTTCCTTTTTTTTGTTTTTGACACACACATACTGATGCACTGATTGATTGATTGACTGATTGATTGACTGATTGATTGACTGATTAATTGATTGATTGATTGATTGATTGATTGTGACTGGTCGATTGATTGATTGATTGATACGAGACTATGTTTCACAAATCCATTGCTTTATTGTTCTCTGTTTTTGTTTCTTGAACTGTCTTCTGAATGTTTCGTCTCCATTTGTTTTCTTCGAACCTCCTTTCTAAGCACTGAATTCAACCCTGTAGAATCTCCCCCTCACACCACCTGCCCTTGATTCCTTGAGTCATCGCACTAAATGCTGGGAGCCTGTGCCAGGATAGAGCCTGGCGCCATGCCGAATAAAGAAAGTATGGCAGAAAAGACATGACATGATCTGTGCATGTAGTGTAGCAGCAAGTGAGACTATTATGACACTTCTGCCTATCTCTTCTTTCAGGGGAGGTTTTTTTTTTTTTTTTTTTTCAGGTGATGTTGTTATTGTGGGCGGTTTGCAGTTGTGGTACTAATTTAATGTGGCTCCACGTGTACTTGGCAGGCTCTGGCTCGACTTGTGGCTGTTTGTGGGCCCCGCCACCGAATGACAGCCGGTGCCTACAGTCTGCTTGCTGTAGTGCTGTACCACACAGGCGACTTCAACCAGGTATGAGGAACGTATGCGCATCTCAGTTTCAGTGTTGCTTCTGTGATGTCAAACAGTGTAGTATCAGCTCATTTCAGATTCAGCCAAATTTCTGGCAGCCCCATTCAGGTGTGGCTACAGCAGTCGATCTTCTTCTTCTTCTTTTTGTGTCCTTTTAAACTAAGCTACGTTCTTCTCTCACCTCGCACTACCTCCCTACCACTACTAGTTATAGTCATACGGGGGGGAAGAACCCCGTAGCAGCCACAACTGTGTTCGCGGGAGCGCGTGCGAGGGCTGCTCCCGACCTGCAGGTGGGTGATACCGGCAAGGGGACATCATGCTGATGTTCGTAGGGGAGGGGACCTGAGGGGAGGCACAGCAGCCGATCTTTGAATGCAATTATTGGTCATTGGATGTCTTTCTTTCTTTTTTTGTTTTAATGATTTTAATCTCTGCTCCAGCTCACTGGTGAGGAGTTCCACCTGCTGAAAACTGGACCAGGTTCCAGTGTCCCTACAACAAGAAAACAATTGCTGGAAACTAGGTTCGCCATTGCCGAACGACCACGTTGTGCGGGGATTATGGAGTGATGTCCTGGTTCACGATTCATGAAGGCAACCTTTCCCCCGAACAAGGTTAGTGCTTCACAAGATTGAATACTGTATTCGTCTGATTTCATCGGGTCCAATGCTCCTGATCAGTTTCCTACCAGTTTCAAGTTTAACATGTCTGCACCCCTCGGCCACATGGACTGCCACACGGACTTGGTAAATGACAACAGCTGCTCCGCAGTTGACAGCTGCTCCCTCCCACTCACCCCTTATCCTGTAGGAATGAGTAAAGAATACCTCTCTCTCTCTCTCTCTCTCTCTCTCTCTCTCTCTCTCTCTCT